AGGAGTTTAGATAAGGAAGGAATTCATTACACTGAGAGTAGTAGTGAATGGCAGCAGCCATGCAGGCAGTAGAGATCAAGGGAGAACAGAGGCAGGAAAGGGAAGTTCATTGAACTCCTTCTTGGCACAGGGCAGATCCCTTGCCAACTCCTGAAGCCAAGGTCGCCTGGCATACAGTGTCTGCTTGAATCTGCACTGCATGGGAACTAAGCCCCTACCACCTCAGCATCTCCGGGAGCCTCAGAGCACTGGCTAGAATGAGATTATGTTCTGAAAACTTCCCAAAGTCAAAGAAAGAAGATTTTAGGGCAGGCTACTAAAGAAAATGATCTTACAGCTACAGTCCTGTCCAGGTCACCCAGGCAACAGGAACTTGGAAGCCCAAATCAGAGATCTTAGTAAATCTTCCCTACTTTTTTGAAGTAGAACAGAGAGAGAAGACTTGTGCTTAAGTCTAGTAAATTGAATGAAATAGTGAAGTAACAAAAATGCTTACCACAGGTAAAAGGGGTTTGCTATTAACCTCCTAAGAGGCTTGGAAGAGTACAGAGACAAAACACAGTAAGTTGAGCAGCAAGAAGTCTTTATGAGGCAAAGTACACACTTGAAGAAAGGGGAGAGTGGGCAACCTCAGAGAGGAGGTGGACTTGAAGGCTTAGGATTCTGCCTTTTCAGGATTTCAAGAATGGGGCAAAGGGCCAAGAAGCATAGGTTTGACATGTGGTCTCATAATGTCTATCTCCAGTGAGAGGCATTATGTCATTATCCATAGTCAGTCCTCTCTGTATTCTGTAGATAAACTTAACACAAGAAATTTCTTAATCCTGTTCTTCCCTAGTGGTCACCCTCAAGCAGTGGGAACATATCATTTAGGACTGCTTGCACTGCCTTAAGATAGTGTAGGTTATTGGCTGATTACCATAAAATATGTTAGGAATCTTACCTCCTAACTCCTCAGTTTTTAAAATGGTATCTTATTCTTTAGCCTTAAGATGGAGCCCCTCCTGTTCTTATTATACTGCTTATATCTTGGCATTTTTTCATCATAGGCAGGAAAAGTTAATCATGATGCTTGTCCAAGTCCCTACTCTAACTCACCATGTACTTTTCAATTTTTTGTTGTTGTTACATAGTTTTTGGTAAACTATTTGAGATTCAGAAAATGTAGTAATCAGAAAGGTTTTTATTAAAACCATTTTCAAGAATGTAATCTTCAATAATCATTTATTTTGAAGGTCAAAGCTAAGATTTTGAAGAGTTAAAAAAGGACGAATATCATAAATAAAATGCTACTGAAAACTATACTGAATACATTATCCTTTACTCAGGAAATGTTGCTTGAGTCTCCAAGTCTCTCAAGTCTTTCATTTAATCTCTGATCGGACAAACTCCAGAAGCTATTCCCGACCTTTTTCTTTCCTTCTCTGACCTTTTACGTCAGAAGTAAAATCAGTAGTTGCCTTTCTGTCTACTAAAATCAATTTTTCTCATGTTGAGGAATAAATGATTTTCCGCTTTACATTTGTTGATACTACGGTGTTGCCATAATTTGCCAAATTCAGATGTTGTAGAAACTTGTGTTAATAAGAAAACAAATCTATTAAATATATCTAAAACAGAGGTTTCATGTACTAAAGCCATATTTTAAAATGAAATTCCATGTAGTGTTGGCCTTCTTGGAAAATAGAAAATTCAGCATATGGAGTATATATTGACCTATAAATTGTTTCCCACATCCTTGGCTTTAATGTTTAAAAGTGTGTATCTAGTGTACATTGATACAACTCTTTTCAAAGAAGTAGGCTAAAATACGGTATGCCTCAGAAAATCCAAGATAAGAAGCAATTTTCTATGTAAAATAATTTAACAAAATTAAAAAGGTGTGCATAGAATGTGAGAACTCTAACAGGACAATATTGGAAACTTTACCATTCAGTTTTAGAGGTATCACATGATAATATCAACATAATTGAATATTTTAGCCATTAAAATCGTAAGTATGGAGACTATGAAAATATGGAATACAGTTAGAATATCTGCTTAAAAACATAATTATCTAAAATCATATATATTTCACAACTATGTAAAAAGTGAACATTTACATATGAAAAGAATGTGCACAAGTGAAAGACATTTTAGTGTTTAGATTGTCCTTGGACCCTAAAGTCCATGTACAGGTGAAGAATCTGTAACTAGATTAGTTACGTAAGGAATAGAGGCTAATAGTAATTCTCAGAGTAGTTAGGGAACAGATTTTCTTTATTTCTATTCTATAGAAGTATAGGAAAGGACTCATAAAATTTAGGTGATGTACAATTAACCACTGGAGAACTGAAAATGGAAAAGGCAGTACCTATATTTTAATCAGTAGTCATTATAATATGCTGCCATAATTGAATTTATTTTAAATTTTGCAAAGATTATGTCATTGGACCTTGAGTGCTAAAAAGATATGAGGCAAAATGTAGTACACAGGTAATATGCTTTATGACACTATACTGAAAATTAACCATGATTGTGTACATGAAGAAGACATTTTAAAAAATTGTAATAAACTGATATACTTAAATGAACTTCCAATTTGTATGATTCAGTTTAAAGTTATAATTTTTCCATGAAGTATCATTTAACAGACATTAAATTAGTGCAATTACCAACCAGGATAAGTTATTAATGGTAGTTTATTAGTGGTGAATGTGACTCAATTTAAATAGTGAATTTTCTGAGCACTTTTTCTTATTTACATTATCCATTCCTGTTTTAACTTATAGTACAAAATCTTCTATATATTATTACTTACCAATTGCTGTAATTATCATTCATTTAAAAATATATTTTAGTCCAAGAATAATATTTTCATTGAACAGGTGGAATTTTAAATACAATTTCTAAACTATTTCCTTGTCATTCCCACAAGGTTAAGAAAATACTTTATCTGTAGTACAAAGGTAACATTCAGAAATAAAATACCAAACTTAATTCTGAGTCTTTCTTAATTGTTTTAAGTATATTTTCCTAATCACAGAGAATCATTTTTTTCAAATTCTATTCTTACTGGAATTGATATATTGGAATAGATTTCTGAAAATGAATTCAAAAGATACACTGATTCCATAAGGATATTTCTAATTTGAATTTAATACTATAGGGTTTTTATTTGCCTTATGAATCTGACAACTGCATCACCTTTCCCCCTAGTGGGGAAAAGTCCTAGTTCTCAATAATACCAATATAATTACTCCTTCCTCAAAATACACACACAGGTTTACAATTACAATACCAGTGCTACCAATACAATATCATCACTAAAAACAGTTTAATAATATTTGTAGCTTTTAACAAATCCATGAAATATACCACATTCAGATGAATGCTAAGTTATTATGTTTTAAAGTCACCTTAAGTAGTTCCTTTAGGAGGCTAAGCCTCTGACTCAAAACACAGATTTCTTTCACTTTTATTTTAATTCTTTGAAAATGCTCTTTAAAATATTTATTTATTTTCTAATAATTTAAACTATTTACAGGGTTCCAAAGTAAATCTTCAAGGGAAGGTATATTCTGAGACAGCTATCTTCTAACCCTGTACTGTCCATCCTATTGCTTCCTATCCCAGAAGGGTAACCATTGTTATTTTTTATTCTTAGGATTATCCTTAAATTGTTTTCTATACATTTCTCTCTACCTTAAGTTTTTTCACTTAAAAAAATCCCAAAATAACTCAAATAACTCCATGGTAGTATTTATATGGTATAGTCACAACTCCTTTTTACAACTTCATAATTCTCCAGTGGATGTAGCATAGTTTTTTCATCCAGTCCCTTATTGATGGACATTTAAATTGCTTCCAGTCTTTGCAAGTGAATCTCAGTGAGTAGTCTTATAAACATGTCACTTTGTATTTGTGCAGTGTATCTTTAGGAAAGATCCCAAAAAGCTGAAGTGCAAATGAACATATAATTTGCCTTAAATGGCCAAATTTCCCTTCATAAGAGTGGTACGATTTTGCATTTCCACCAAAATGCACTTTTCCGTATAGTCTAGCCAACAGAGCCTGGCATCATTTTTTTAAATTTTTTGCCAATCTGATAGGTTAGAAATGATATCTCAGCATTTTTAATTTGTAGTTCTATTTTTATGAGTTTAAACTTCCATGTAAAAAATTAGTTTTTAAATATCAAAATACTTAAAAATGGAAAGTATTTTGTTAAAGAAAAGAATCTACTGTATATACATTCTAGGAAAAGTTTGGAAGTTTAATGTAAGTTTAGTTTAGGGTTAAGTTATTAAAATAATGTTATATAGGAAAAAAATACATTATTCTGAAAATAGACTTCAGAAGTTTAATAGTTCAATTTCTTTAACATGTCACAAATCATGCAAAAGAAATAATGCTGCTTTTATTAAAAATAAAAATAATAATAATAATAGGAGAAATGTGGGATCAACATATAAATCAAGTACAAAAATCAAACGAATATTCATATTTGACCTGATTGTTTATAGGTCATATTTGTTATGCAATAATTTATTGTAATCAAGTTTGTGATACTAATGTCTGTAAAGTACTAAAACTGTATAAAGCACTAAGTTGGAAAAGAAGGAAAATCCTATAAATGGTCTTGTAATTGCAGAAGATTTTTCTGTAATCAGACTTATATTTATAACCTATAGGAGACAAGTATATTGTATTTCATGTCATAGCTCAAAACCAAAGCAAGTTTCAAGAAAAATGTCCTTCTCAGACAAAAACAAAGATGATTAAGTTCTGTCTCTAATTCTTGGACTGTTTGAGTTTTTCCTGTTTCCTTAGTAGTGTTTCTAAATATATTGTATTGCTTTATTTGGATTGAATAGATCCTAAGACTATCCTATTAATCTGACTTCAATAATTAATGTCCTCTCCAGTAAGAATTATATTTTCCTTTGAAGACAAAATATTAAAGGATTATGGAAAATGATTCCTGCCAATTAATTCTTAGTTATTTTCTTTCCTTTCAGCACCTTCCCTGATAGGTATGGTAAGGAAGGACTGGGCATCCCAAAATAGCATTGCCCTCTCATGGCAAGCACCTGCTTTTTCCAATGGAGCCATTCTGGACTACGAGATCAAGTACTATGAGAAAGTAGGTCAAATTTGGAGTTTCCTAAAAAACTACATATACATACATACATACATGTATATGTATATATATATATTTATATATATATATGTATATATTCAGCATGTTATTATATTATTATTTTACTTTAAAACCTATTTTTTTCGGCCTAACCTCATACCTACTATGTCTTTGAAGACTCTCTAATTTACTATTTCTTGTATTTTCTTAATTAATTTGTCTTGTTTTATGTCAGATTAAAGTAGAAGACATATGATGTTCATCTTTGTCATGACTTACTCTAGTTTTACAGTAGTAGGAAGTGGTATCTCCTTCAACTCCTAGTTTAGTTGATATAACATTATTTCTAAAATTCATTGGGAAAAAAATGGTAAAATAAAATTACTATAACCTAAAAGGTGTTGGTGTAGCCCATATTCTTTGCCAAAGTTACAGTCCACCTTATGAGTTGGAAAGGATGATATAAGGATAAATGGAAATAGCTGATGAATTAAAAATTTTCTCTACATTCAGGTCAGTTCTTTTATTTATAAGAAGCTGGCAGTGTAAATCTGGTTAATAAATCAACTGCTAACCTTAATTTCCATTTTTGCCATTTATAAATGTGCTCAATTACTGTATTTTCTTGAATGATATGCTTCCTTACCTCTATTGTTATTCACACTCTTTTAAGAATTTTCCCTTTCCTCACCATCATATTATTGTTGCTGTACAATTACAGCTATTACACAGACCACATAGATAATTCTGATATGTGTTATTGTGCTAATACTATTCTGGAATATTGATAAAGGGAACATTAAACAAAAACATTTTAGTGTAAAAATTATATATAATTTCTAATAGTATATTAAAATAAGAAAGAACTTCTTGCATTTTTGAAACTTACTGGAAGCAAAGGTATATCACAAATAAATTTAGGTTTCCTCTGAAGAAATATAGAGCAAGAAGAGAGTTCACCTTTTTCTGTTCTCCTGCTTCTGAGCAAATGTAAATTTGGAAAGGGGAGAGGTGACTCATTAGCATGGCTGTATCCATTTTTGATACTCTAGTAATTTCAGTATTATGTAGTCAATGAAAACTGTCATTATCATTAACTAACACAGATAAATCCATAGTCTTAAGAAAGGAGGAGTTTACTGAGTTTTAATTGGATAACAGATTCTGTGCATTAGCCAGGCCGTCATGTATTCAGGAGCCCTGTTGGGCTATCCTTTCAAATGTTATAACCTATGACATGCGGTCATAAGAATATATATATTTTCTATTCACTAAATCAAATAAATCTTCATGTATTCAAACTGCACATACACAAGCAACCTTTCAGTATGGAAGTATTTCTGTTTTATAGAAGTATTTACAGAAAATCTCTCATTTTATAGTCATTTATAATTCATATGTTTGAAGATGAAGATAACTTAAAATATTTACATTTATGGACAAACCATACAGTTCCATAAAAAGAGAACCACATCCATCCAATCAGAATTTTAGAAATCAATGATTCTCAAAGTTGGTAATTGACATAAATCCCATGTTTTAATGAAGGAATAAATAATGTCATGAAGGAGTTTGTTTTGTAAGAAAATGACAATGATCCAGTGCTAATGATTAAATGTGGAGTTAGAAGCCAAGGATTCCTAATTCATGTTCTGACTCTGACTCTCATTATGCTTACCTCTAGGAAAAAGTCAACTAATCAACCTGTCTCTCAGTCTCCACATTTATAAAAATGTAGATAAAGATATTTGCCCTTCTAGTGGGTTATAAAGATTAATTATAAACAGATCTAAAAAATAAAACACCCTAAATCATTATTAAATATGAATGTAGAAAGCTTTAGGGAAATATTTCCATATATTATAATACCACATAGAATCAGAATAAAATAGCATGGGATTGTCTACAAACTAAATAATCTGTATCTTCCCATACATAAATATACAATGTATAGACAACCAAAGATGTTAGAATATCAAACCCTTCAGATTGCATAAAACTTTTCCCAAGTATGATGTCAAATTCTAACTGTACATTTTATATGTCTGCATCTATAATGTGGTTTCTCCTCCCAAGCAAATAATTTTATGAGACTTGTAAGTAGGACAACTTGTAATAGTACCCTTAGTTAAAAGTGCTGATTGCCTTCTTTATTAGGAACCTCAATATTGTGCAGTAAGAAAAGCAAGATACAAAGAAGTATATATGCTAATGGTTCTCTTTTTGTAACACAAATATTTCCCCATATGTGTGTATTTGTGTGAGATTATACACATACAGAAAAATATAGAGTGTTCTAGAATGCACATCATGCTGTTTCAAGTGTTGCCTATTAGGTTGGAGTGGGATTGTGGGATGGAGGTACATCATTGGAGGCAAGGAAGAGTGAGGGAGAAAGCAAGTATAGATAAATATGGATGAATGGATGGGCCCTAAATAGCTTTGGTAACTGTCTTAGATTAAGTCACCCTAAAGCTGACCCTGAGACAAGAATTTGTGTGCAAGTGATTACTTAAGAAAGCTCCCAGGAGAATTGGTAAAGAAAATGAAGGAAGAAAGATTATGAAAAAAGAAGGATTATGAAACTCAGAGTGACCAAGGGATCTCTTAATCTAAATTATGTATCAAAGTTCATCCCATGGAGACAAAGAAGCTGATCTGTCTCTGGCTCCAGTCAATCATTGGCTACAGGCTTTACTGGAAGTACATATGTGATGTGTAGAAAAAAATCATATGCACTCCTGGTTCTCTGTAGGGGCTTTGTAGCCCAAATTTCGGTCTCTAAAGAAAGTGGCAGATAATGAGCCTTAAAAAGCAAAATATAGAAGCTGGGGATGGGATCAGGAACAGGTAAAGATCTCCAACTGGATCTGGTGGTGCTTTAACTACTTACTAAGGTACCTCAATGTTCAGAGAGTTATGAAAGAATTTTAATCCTCTACTCATTATAATACTCATATTATTCACAGCCTTTAATATTGGTGCCTCAGTCTTTATGTCTTAAACCTTATCTTTCCTTTTAATCAAAGTTACTCTTTATCACTAATCCATAATCCACAATCCATATTTACACTATTCTCTGAAGAACTGTGTTTTATTAAGTTTTCATTTTTTTAAGAGCATTATTTTGTAAATCAGGAAAGAAGTTAAGCTGCTTAGAATGTGAAATGTTTACAGATCTCTGATGTCAACGTACATACTATTGTTACCAGTGACCTTTTGTAATATTAAAAAAAGACTCTGGCCGGGGTGTTCAAAGTTTGAGTTTGGCTCAGACCTTAATTTTCCTAGTCCTGTTTTCTCAGCTTTTAGATAAGGGTCTAGAAAGATAATCTCTTAAAGTTCTAGCTATTTTCAAATGCTAGTATATTTATGTCTAAACAGTTATGCAGATATGTTATCCTACTCCTCAAATAACTGTAGTTTTTCTTTTATGTCTGTTGGGGGTTGAGTTTGTTCTTGGTTCTTGTCCCTGCTTTAGTAAAGAAACTCAGAGATGCAGTAGTAGTGAAGCAGAGTCAAGATTTTATTTGAATGCACTCCAAGGGAGGAGCAGGCCAGAGTCAAGGTAGACAAAGGCAAGTTTACTTGAATAAAGCAGAGAAGAAGGAAAAACAGAGGGAGGAAAGAGAAGCTTATTAAACTCCTGCTCAGCCTTAAGCATATCCTTTGCCAACTCCTAAAGCCAGGGTCACCTGGTATGCAGCGGCCACTTGAATCCTCACCATATGGGAACTACGTCCCTACCACCCCAGGATTTGGGGGAGCCACAGAGCACTGGATGAAGTGAGCTTATGTTCTTAAAACTTACCAAAGACAAAGAACGATTTTCAGGCAGGCTACTAGAAAGCAAGATTGTACAACTGCAGTTCTGTCCAGGTCACCCAGGTGAAGGGAATTTGCAAGCCTAAATCAGAGCTCTCAGCAGCCCCTCTTTACTTATCTGGAGCAGAACAGAGACAGTGACACACTTGAAGAAAAGGGAGTGTGGGCAACCTCAGAGAGAAGGTTATTAAGGGTTGTGGGCCTGGGGAAAAATGTCTTTTTGAGTAGGAGTCAGATAAGGCATGATGTACACAGGTGATTCATAATTCCTTTGAAATTTTGTCTTAAGAATAGGGTTGTTTAGGTGACTGTGTTGACCTGGATCTCAGCATTCTTTGTCCACATAGGTTTATTTACAGTACCAAGATCTGTCTTCTGTGCTGTTTACAAAGTTACTTGATTAAGGGGCTGGAAGAAGAGGAAAAAAGTAGCATATAGATAAAGTTGAAGAATAAGTTGGACCTTTTTGCAGGCTAAGTAGATTTTATAGTGGCATAATCTAATTAGTACAATGAAGACATGGGCTGTGCTCAGATACTTTTCATTAGCTGGGAAATATCCAGATATTCTAAGTTGCTCCTGGCCTTTGGAACATTGACTAAGTAACTCATTAACTCTGTGAGTCTTTTCTGGATCTGTTTTTACCTAGTTAACATTTTGAGTCCCTTTTAATGGGCTCTACTGCATTTATTTTTTCTGTCCAGCCCACTCATATCTATTTTTCTGCCTAATATGTATGCTGAAATTAAATGCACACACACACACATTTTAGAAACTACTTCACCACATGGAATAGTACTTTTCACCTCATAACTGTATATAAAAATTGACCCTGCTATCATTGTGTGTGTGTGTGTGTGTGTGTGAGATGAGAGGTTTGGCACCAACAATGCTTTTCTCCAAAATGAGACAAATGAAGACATTGTAGGTGACACAAACAAACTTGATTTAACACTTCCTAAAATGGGCAGTCTCCTTTCAGAGAACTACAAAATGGGGCAGAAGGCAAGAAACTCTTATAGGATAAAAAAGAAAGAACAAGGAGACGAACAAAATATCTGATTGCCTGGGGCCACATGGTCTACCTTGTTTGGGGTGAGAAGGAGCAAGGAAAGAAGTATAGAGTCCAGAGTTGGGATGGCATCTGGGACTTGCTGACTATATATACAAGTTTCCCC